TACTTGAATTAATATGCTCGACCCGACCAAAGGAATAGGAAAGTAATATAAATACAATGGAAAATGAGAGGGAACAAAGCGAAACGAGAGAAAAGAAATTAAGATAGAAATAAAAAAGTGAAGAAGTAGAAAAGTAAGGAATCGAGTTATAAAAGTGGAAAAGAAATAAGGAAAGAGATAAATAAGAAAGTGAAGAATGAAAGATAAAGAAATAAGGAATTAATGAAGAAATAAATATAGAAGACGAAGAAGAAGAAGGTTGCAAATGAATATGAGGGGTATTTCCAAGAGACCAGTATAGGAGACCGGCTCGAGGAAGAATGAGCGCTCGGAGTCCGGGCGCTGCCTCCTGCGCTCAGCCCCACTCTCCGCCATCTCCCACTCCCAGAGTCCTGCTGCGACGAATTTGCGCGCCTACAATTTTGGGCAACTTCCAGTAATTTCTAAATATGCTTGGCCAGAATTTCCGTTTTCTGAGTGTTAATATTTTACTTTATTGATTTAATTAATTAGTTTAATGTTACAAACACTTAATTTATTAATATTTCAATTTAAATGTAATTTATTTTCGATATTCTACAATTTCAATTCAAATTTTATCTACTCCGTATATTCTGCAAGATTTTTATTTAGCTTCAATTTTATATTTTGAATAAATTTTTAAAGTAAATCAAGATCCAATAATATTTAGTAAAAATTGAGCTGCTACACGGGTGTCAAGTTGGCACTTTCTTCGAAATGTCTTAAAAATATTTCAACAATAAGCTTTTTCAATAATTCTTGAGAAGTTCTATATTTCCCGGTCTCGTTCTAAGAGTTGCTTTGGGAACCAGCGGTGAGTAGCGGAGAACCTCTGTCCGCCAAGGTACACGTTCGTGAACACGTTCAGCTCGGCTACGACGGGATTATCACTATCGACGGAGTGATGATCCCAAATCCTACTTCCAAACTCGCCGCTACGATTTAGCGGCATGATTTTGGTACCGCCGAAAACCGTAGCGTTGTGCATCTCCCTACTGACAGAGATGAGTTTTAGGCGATACCAAAATCATGGCGCTAAATCCTAGCGGCGAGTCTGGAAGTAGGATTTGGGATCATCACTCCGTCGATAGTGCCAATCCCGTCGTAGCCGAGCTGAACGTGTTCACGAACGTGTACCTTGGCGGACAGAGATTCTCCGCTACTTACCGCTTGTTCCCAAAGCAAGACTTCGAACGTCTCCCTATTCGTCTCTGGCGCCCACCATTTGAATTTACCATCTATTATCCGTTCCTAACTTAACAACCGATGGTCTTCCTCATCAATATTGTCATTACTAATTGTAAACTATGACAGACTTACATGACTATACTTGAATTGGAAATGATCAGATCAGGATAGGAGAAAAGAGAAGCGCAAGAGTTGACATACAAAATCATTTATTCATATAAAAGGACACTTTATACTAGCACGTACTGTCTTAAATCTAGCGTTCCGTAGTTGGGATCACCGGCGGATGCTCCTGACTCGTTCGTTTCCTCATCATTTATCACATATGTAATACGTAGCAAACAATAATGGGTTACATCGAGAAAGAAGAGGAAGAAGAAAAAGAAGGAGGAAGGGACGAATCAAAAAAAAGAGTAAGAGAAAAAAAACAGAAAATGGAAAAATGTCCGAGAAATCCTCAAGTTGTGCCCCATCACGAGGACGGCTGCACTGCGTCTACGAAACTACATTTGTTAATTGACGACTGGCAGTTGTGAAAAATGAAAATTATTCTTTCAATTATCCAATGCTTTAAAAAACATAAGGTATTCGTTTAACGTTCTCGTATTGCCAGTCGATTCTCAACGCGTATACAATATCTCGGATTGATTAGGGTAAACGAGCTCCGATAAGGAATCGTCTAATTACATATTTACGGTACGCATATTTATATTATTATTTATATCATTACCGTTGATATTACTCGTTATTCATTAACGTCCACGTTATAGTTATATCGATATAAAATGGGTATAAAGATAAATACTAAGTTTTTCGACTAAATCCTAATTGGACTCTTGCTTTCTTGAAATTGTCGCAGCTCCAGCGGTACGCGAATCTTTTTTTTTTTTCCTTTACATCGTCAACCCTCCGTCTTCTCCCTTCTATCCAATACGAATTCTCGATGTTGTCCCTTCTCCTATTTACTCAACCGTTTACTCTATGGCAAGTGCATGAATATTCATTTTGGAAGATAGGAGCGTACTTCCCAATTCGATTGGAAAATTGGACACGGTGACGTCATCTTGAATCGTCGTAGTAATGGCGTACCCCCAATGCTGGCCAATCGCGTCAGAACGCTTGAAAGAGTTTTATTGCCTGGCCGCGCGAAATATACACATAGACCAGCTAGTCCGGGCGTTCGAGTGGCAGAAGCTTAAAACTATATATATATGTGTGTATATATATACCAACGTGAGCACGTATAATGTATATATCGTGAGAGAAATAAGGCAATAAAAGAAAAAACAGAAAGTCTAAAGGAAAAAAAATAATATAAGAAAATTGAAATGGCTGCGATTCTACCGATCAAACGGCCCGGAATCAATAGCTGGGTCGCACGGCTAGGCGAGGACACTAATAATTATCATCCATAATTTATAAATCGAGTACAAAGACTACAGGCTGTTTCAAGCAAAAACGTGCCACGGTCCTTCTGTTTTCCTAAATATAAATACAGACAGTATGCGTAGTATCGTGCGATGACGTAGTAATCACCTATAAACTACGTCCCGTATCTTCGAAGCGTGACGTATTTCCCGCATGGTTCCAAAAATTATATTAAAGAAAAAACGAAAAAAAAAACAAGAAGTTAGTAAAGGCAAAAAATTGGAACACCTTTTGGGCCTTTAAAAAGAATTCACCCCTTCCTCCTTCCTCCCCGTCAATACGATTCAACCCCCGTCTGTCATGTCCAATCGATCATCCCCTTAAAAGTCACAGATAATCGATTTTTTAAAAATATTAACAATAAATCGCGACACTTCGAAGCTGAAGGACGCAGTTTAAGACTTCGTAGAAGGTATTATTAAATGTTATTATCAGTTATTGTATCAATTGAAGAGTATATTGTATAAGATTCATTATAATCGTATGTATATATGTATATATATACTATATATATATTTATATATATATGACGCCGGCTCGCCGGAGAAGCTTTCTTTTTTTTTTTATATCTTGGTCGGTCCTCCGCCCGAGCCGCTTATTTGAGCTTCGAGTTGCGTGTACGTTTGCACGTTGAAGTTAGTGCGATTGTCGTTAGCCGCCATTCATAACAGTACCGTCGATCGAGTCCTAATTTATCATGTAATTAACACATCAATGGATCAATGATTAAATGACTCGACCGAGTGATTGATCTGTTACGCATCGCGGCCTACCTATTAACGTCTAACATATTATTCGCATTCATTCATTCTAACTACCCTTTGATCCGTGTCCTTCTTCGTCTTCCATTTTGTGTTATCCATATATCGTTCCACCTTCGTTTTTCTCCATGATCTTCTTACATTTCTTTTTCTCATTTTCTCTCATCCCCGTGATCGGACTGATCACGTGATCTCTTTCTTGTAAGTTGGCGACTTTGATATGGCTATCGGTCTGTTGTCTTTTATCCCCCCGTTGTTCTCTTAGCTGTTGTCGATGTTGTTCACTATCGGAAGCGAAAGCACCGCCATCTAGCGGATACTGACGAAGGCACAGTTAATAAGTCTCGTTCGTTCCTCAAGCTCCCAATAATTTGAGTAACCGCGCGAAAGCGCTCGCAGCGCCTTGCAATAGACGGTGACTACAATAATTAAACGTTAAAATACGCAACGATATCATATTCGTAGTTTTTCATTGACAATTCGTCATTTTGAAAAATTTATGGACGTCCTAAATTGATTGCCTCCCACTGTCATCCTCGTGATCGTATATCGTATGTGTACGTTATTACCTTTTCGGTATCGTTATTATGTTTTTTTTTGCGTCATTTTGGCACCAGAAACGCGCCCTTACTATTAATATTATTTTTTTCGTTTGTTTATCTGCTTACATATATAAACGTTACGTTTTGGCCACTCAGTTCGCGTTCGCCGAGCACATAATTGTCTTGTGTCACGCGACATTAGAATAATTTTAATTCACTTTTATACAACACTGTCTTCTTTTTCAAGATTCTCCTCACTTGACAATCCTCGTAATCTTGGTATCCATTTTGAGTCCGACGCTTAAATCTTGGCCGAGGGCTCATCTCCTCCTTCTGGCTGTAGCAGCTGCGATCATTTGCCTAAGCATCGGCTCGGGGCTGCATACTCTGGGATCACACTTCATGTTGCCATCACCGCCACAACTGTAAGAGTGTAAATAAAAAATTAATTTTTAAACGCTCCATGAACAATTGAAATAGGGAATTGCATTGTTTCAGGAATTTACTTACGTGCAATGGAGGCATGGTCCTGAAGCGGACTTGATGACTTCGCCAACGTGGTAGGCCTGTCCGCGAATCTGGCAGCCACTTCGTCTCGCAGCGCCTTTGTACGCGTGCGACAGGAAGTGTGGCGGCAATGTCGTTGTGGTGGTAGTTGTCGTTGTTGTCACGTTCAGTGAAGTGGCCATGGAAACGGGACACTCGTATCTTGGACAACAGAAGCCGTTTATTGGTTCCTCGTGACAGCCTGGTATCGGCGGTGGGCAACTCTGTTGCAGACAGATGATGTCGCTGCGGAAGCAGAAGCAGAAGTCGCAGGGATCGTCGCGTGGAATTTGCTGTGCGGAGACGTAGACCTTTCCGCCGTAGCGACAGGTGCCTGGACCGTAGACAGCCTGGTCGTCCTCATCGTAATCCTCTTCTGGGTTCAGATAAGTGCCACTATTGACGGGGAAGTGAGGATTCTCTTCGGTAGGTATCGTCTGGTCAGGATACTCTGGAATACCCTGAGGTTCTAGTACACCTGCTGAGTGATCCACGCTACTAGGTTTCGAAGGTTCCTTGTCATCTGGTCCGATGGTTAGTTGACCTTCGGTGTCGTCGTGCTCCTCGGGAAGGACGTCGGGTACGTTCACGTGTTGCTCAAGATCATCCTCTGGGAATTGATCTGATGTTTGATCTGGAGATTGGGCTGGGGATTGGTCTGGTGATTGAACGTCTGATATCTTGGTAGGTTCTTCAGGTTCCTGTGGTATTTGTGCTGGTGAGGGTTCTTCTGGAATTATTGGTGAAGTTGTCAATCTTTCTTGAGGTTGTTCGGTTACGGATGGTTGTGCACTTTCGGCTTCTCCAGCAGATTTGGTTGGGAGTATTTCTTCTTCTGGTTTCTCTTCAGCAACTGGACTTACAGTCAAGCCGTCCTCTGATTCAGATGGAGTGGCTGATTTTGTTGGTTCTTCTGCAGGACTTGAAGAGCTGGATTCAGGTGCAACAGGACTGCCAGTTGGTATTTCCTGGGGTGCTGATGATTCTGTTGGTTGTTCTTCAGGAACCGTGACTATTTCTATTGGCTTCTCTTCCTTGGTAGAAAGTGTGGTCGACTCAGCTGGTACAGCTGCAGGTTCTTCAGTTGATTGTTGTTCCTCAGTAAGAATTGGTCCAATTGTGGGCTTATCTTCAAGTACAGCGGCAGTGGTTTGTTCTTCGGGAACAGCTGGTTCCTTCTCAGGTTCTTCCTCGGAAACAGAAGCTTCAGTTGGAATGTGCTCAGGAATTTCAGATATTACTGGTTCTTTTTCTTCTACTGAAGGTAGTTCCGTTTGTTGTGCCACATCAGTCACGGCCTTTGTTGGTTTCTCTTCCTCTACAGGTATCTCTTCTACCAAGGGCTTCTCTTCGACAGGTTTTTCTTCTTCTGCGGGTTTCTCTTCCTCTGCAGGTTTAACTTCTTCTGTAGGCTTCTCTTCTGCAATTTTTTGTTCTTCAGTTGGCTCTTTTTCTACTGGTTTCTCTTGTTCTATAGGTTTCTCTTCTGCAAGCTTTTCTTCTTCCGCCGGCTTTTCATCTGCAGGTTTTTCGACTGTAGGCTTCTCTTCTTCAGCAGGTTTCTCTTCTATAACAGGTTTGTCTTCTGCAATTTTCTGACCTTCAGTAGGCGTTTCTTCTACTGGTTTCTCTTCTTCTGCAGGTTGTTCTTCTTCTGCAGGCTTCTCTTCCGCAGGCTTCTCTTCTATAACAGGTTTGTCTTCTGCAATTTTCTGACCTTCAGTAGGCGTTTCTTCTACTGGTTTCTCTTCTTCTGCAGGTTGTTCTTCTTCTGCAGGCTTCTCTTCCGCAGGCTTCTCTTCTTCAGCAGGTTTCTCTTCTGCAATTTTCTGTCCTTCTGTAGGTGTTTCTTCTACTGGTTTCTCTTCTTCTGCAGGTTGTTCTTCTTCTGCAGGCTTCTCTTCCGCAGGCTTCTCTTCTTCAGCAGGTTTCTCTTCTGCAATTTTCTGTCCTTCTGTAGGTGTTTCTTCTACTGGTTTCTCTTCTTCTGCAGGTTGTTCTTCTTCTGCAGGCTTCTCTTCCGCAGGCTTCTCTTCTTCAGCAGGTTTCTCTTCTGCAATTTTCTGTCCTTCTGTAGGTGTTTCTTCTACTGGTTTCTCTTCTTCTGCAGGTTGTTCTTCTTCTGCAGGCTTCTCTTCCGCAGGCTTCTCTTCTTCAGCAGGTTTCTCTTCTGCAATTTTCTGTCCTTCTGTAGGTGTTTCTTCTACTGGTTTCTCTTCTTCTGCAGGTTGTTCTTCTTCTGCAGGCTTCTCTTCCGCAGGCTTCTCTTCTTCAGCAGGTTTCTCTTCTGCAATTTTCTGTCCTTCTGTAGGCGTTTCTTCTACTGGCTTCTCTTGTTCTATAGGTTTCTCTTCTTCTGCAGGTTTCTCTTCCGCAGGCTTCTCTTCTTCAGCAGGTTTCTCTTCTGCAATTTTCTGTCCTTCTGCAGGCGTTTCTTCTACTGGTTTCTCTTGTTCCACAGGTTGTTCTTCTTCCGCAGGCTTCTCTTCTATAACAGGTTTGTCTTCTGTAATTTTCTGACCTTCAGTAGGCGTTTCTTCTACTGGTTTCTCTTTTTCTACAGGTTGTTCTTCTTCTGCAGGCTTCTCTTCGGCAGGCTTCTCTTCTTCAGCAGGTTTCTCTTCTGCAATTTTCTGTCCTTCTGCAGGCGTTTCTTCTACTGGTTTCTCTTGTTCCACAGGTTGTTCTTCTTCCGCAGGCTTCTCTTCTATAACAGGTTTGTCTTCTGTAATTTTCTGACCTTCAGTAGGCGTTTCTTCTACTGGTTTCTCTTCTTCTGCAGGTTTCTCTTCCGCAGGCTTCTCTTCTTCAGTAGGTTTCTCTTCTGCAATTTTCTGTCCTTCTGCAGGCGTTTCTTCTACTGGTTTCTCTTGTTCCACAGGTTGTTCTTCTTCCGCAGGCTTCTCTTCTATAACAGGTTTGTCTTCTGCAATTTTCTGACCTTCAGTAGGCGTTTCTTCTACTGGTTTCTCTTTTTCTACAGGTTGTTCTTCTTCTGCAGGCTTCTCTTCGGCAGGCTTCTCTTCTTCAGCAGGTTTCTCTTCTGCAGTTTTCTGCCCTTCTGTAGGCGTTTCTTCTACTGGTTTCTCTTGTTCTACAGGTTGTTCTTCTTCTGCGGGCTTCTCTTCTTCAACAGGTTTCACTTCTGCAATTTTCTGTCCTTCTGTAGGCGTTTCTTCTACTGGCTTCTCTTGTTCTATTGGTTTCTCTTCTTCTGCAGGTTTCTCTTCCGCAGGCTTCTCTTCTTCAGTAGGTTTCTCTTCTGCAATTTTCTGTCCTTCTGTAGGTGTTTCCTCTACTGGTTTCTCTTCTTCTGCAGGCTTCTCTTCTACAGGTTTTTCGTCCGCAGGCTTCTCTTTCGTAGTTTCCTCTTCTTCTACAGGTTTTTCTTCAGGAATTGCAGCTTTGGTAGGCTTCTCTTCCTCAACAGAACCTGCAGTTCCTGGGGTAGCTTCTTTAGTTGGTTTTTCTTCTGCAACTGATTCATTTGGTTTTTCTGCAGGTTCCTCAGCAGGTTTAACAGGTACCGATCCTTCAGTTGGTTCATTAATAGTTGGCTCAACTGGTTTTTTCGATTGGTCCTCAGAACTTGTGACTTCTGCTTCAACAGGTTGTTGTGTCTGCTGTTCAATAGGAACTTCTTCTTCATCTACAGGTGTACTAGTCTCCTCCGTAGCTGGAGAAATTGGTTTAGCCGGCTGTTCATCAATAGAAGCACCAGTTGGTTCACCTTCAATTGGTTTAATGTCTTGATCTGGTTTGATTTCAATTGGTAATTCGCTACTTGTTTCCACTGTTCCAGGGGCAGAAACTGGAGTCTCTTGAACCGGTTTTTCAGACTCTTCAGGTAATTGTTCCTTAGGTAGCTCATCAACGGGAGTAGGAATTGGAGCAGGAGTTTCAGATTCATCTGGTTTTCCCTTAACTGCTCCAATTGCTTGTTCCGTTGTCTGTGCAATAGGTGTTTCAGCTTCACCAGGAGCAGCAGATTTAACAGGTACAGCAGCTTGTTCCTCAGACGGTACGGCAGGTGCAGAAGTATCTTGTTCAATTGATGCAGCTGGCGTAGTAGCTTCTCCTTCAATTGGTTTAACATGTACAGAAGGTGCTGGAGCCTCTCCTTCAACTGGAACTGAAGCTTCCTCTTCAACAGGAATAGCAGGCGCAGTCGTCTCTCCTTCAACCGGAGCTGATGTTTGCTCTTCAACGGAAACTGCAGGTGCGGATGTTTGAATTTCAACTGCCACGACAGGAGGAGAGGTTTCTTGTTCAACTGGTGCGGGGGTTTCACCTTCAACTGATGGTTGTACAGTCTGTTCTTCTCCAGCTGCGGCTGGTTTTTCAACCAATGTGGGTTGTAAAGATTGCTCTTCAACAGGAATAGCAGATTCAGTAGACTGTCCCTTAACCGATCCAGTCGAATCGGTTGTCTCTTGTTCAGGCTGTTCTTCAGTAGAAATTGTCGGTTCACTTGGTGAGGCAGGTTCAACGGGTGCACTAGGCTGTTCCTCAGGAACAGTTTCTGGTGCTGGTTTAGTGACTTCTTCATCTGCAGGTTTCTTAGTTTCACCTTCGGTTGTAACAACTGCATCTGTTTTCATTTCACTTGTTGGAGTAGATGGATGCTCGAGAGGTTCTTCCGCAGTTGGTTTAGCAGTTTCTACTTCAGCAGAATCGGGACTAGCGGTTTCAATTTCGACAGATGCAACTGTACTACCAGGATGTTCACCTTTAACAGGTACTACGGGTTCTTCCGATATGACTGTTTCAGGCTCCTGAGGATGAACGGCCTTAGTTGGTAACTCAACTTCCTGTTCAGAAATTCCTTCTGGCGTGGTCGACGGTGCAAGAATTTCCTTTTCCACTGGCTCTGCTGTATGTTCCTCGACTTCAGGTGCAATAGGTTCAATAGGTTGTTTCGGTTCGCTACCAATACTTGAGGGTTCCGTACTCTGAGACAGATTTTCTTCATCCTTACCAGTCTCAACTGTTTTGGTCGGAATCTTTTCAGTTGGTTGCTCTGGTGTCGGTTCAACAGGTTTCTCCTCAATGGGAGTAACTACTTCATCAACGGCAGGTACTGGTTCACCAATGGAAACTACAATCTGACCCTCTTCAGGACTGCCAGGCTCATTTGGACGCTCTTCAACTGAGGGTTCTTTGCCAGATATTTCCGGAGTTGCAGTCTGCGGTGCCTCTTCTTCGCTTGTTGGTTTTTCAGTACCTTCTTCGGGTATCTTTTCTCCTGTGGGCAGAATGGAAGCTGGAGTTTCTTGTTCAACTGCTTCAACTGGTTCAGCAGTCTGTTGCTCCTCAATCGGACCAGCTGTGTGTTCTTCTGCTGATTCTGGAATTTCGGATGATATAACTGGTATTTCAGGGTGTCCTTCTGCAGCTGGTTCCTTGTGAGGTCCTTGTATCTGATCGGTCTCCGGTATAGCAACGTCTTCATCAGATGGTTTAGGAGTGTGATCTATTTCAGGAACACTTTTCACTGGTCCCACTGTTTGCTGTTCATCAGTTGGTTCCTTTTCAGCAGGCTCAACTATTCCACTAGTCTGTTCTTCAATAGAAGAGATAGGTTCAGTCGTCTGCTCTTGAGGTTTTCCAGTCTCAGCTTCCTCTCCAGAAATAGATATAGTTTCAGAAGTTGGCTTTTCCTCAGGAACAGGAGTTGCAGGTTCTTCAGCAGTAGCAGGCACTTCAGGCAGTTTTTCAGGAACAGCAGGGACGGTAGGTTCTTCCACAGCTGGCGTCTCAGGTACATGACCTTTGAGTGGAGTCTCCTCTGCAGGAGAAACAGGAGTAATAGGTTCCTCAGGATGCTCAGGCTGTACGGGTAGCTCAACACCCTTTTCAGGTACTGTGACACCTTCGACAGGAGAAACAGGAGAAGCTGGTAACTCCTCTCCAGGAACAACTGGACCAACTGTTTGTTGCTCATATGCTGGAGTATGATGTTCGGACATTTGGCTATCTGATTCCAATTCAACAGTAGGCGCAGATTCACATGTGTACATAGGGCAACACGATTCAGGACCAGCATGAATTGGCATGCAATTAGATAAGTGAGTTGGTGGGGGAGAACATTTAACAAGATCGCATTGAACGATACTGCTGACGCAGCGACAACTGATTTGACAAAGATTCGATGGTGGAATGATTGAATTATTGCCATAAGATTGACCATCGACGAGACAATTGCCTTCCCCAGGAATTCCTGAAGGACGAGCATCAACTGGACCTGAAACCTCAAGACCAGGTTCTTCAACTTTTTGCTCCCCTTCGATAGTTGGTTTTTGTGGTTGGCCAGGTGCAAGTGGTTCAGTTGGCACTGTTTCTTCTAGTGGTACTTCAGGTACGATTTTCTCACCCCCAGTAGGAGTTGGCTCACTTGGTTGTTCCCCGGTAATTGCTGCTTGAGGTTGTTGGTCAGATTTTGTTGGTTTTCCGTCAGGTACTGGAAGTTCAGGAGTTTTCTCGGATGTTCCAATGTGAACTTCAATTGGTTTCTCTTCAGGAACTGAAACTTCTTGTTGACCCTCAATTGGCTTTTCGTCAGTGATGGCTCCCTCTGTTGCTGGTATTTCTGAATGATCTTCGACTTGAATACCTTCCGTGGGGATCTCCTCCTTTTCTGCCGAGACTGTTGTACCCTCTTCGTGTTCAATTGGTTTCTCTTCAGACGAAACATCTGTAGGTTTCTTTTCAGAAACTGAGGGTTCAACTGGCTTTTCTTCAGCACTGGGTATAGTCTCAGGTTTCTGATCATCAATGGAAGGTATAACCGGCACATCGGGCGTTTCTGCTAGAGTTCCACTTTGTTCCTTAGAAATCTCAGGTACAACCGGAATTTCAGTTGATTGTTCAGAAAGATCTTGCACAGCTGGAGTTGCACTTGGTTCCTCAGGAACTTCCTGCACAGCTGATGTTACATTTGGTTCTGCAGGAATTTCTTCTGCAGTGGAAGTTACGCTTGGCTCCTCATGCTTTTTCTGTGCATCTGGAGTTCCGCTTGGTTCTTCAGGCGTTTCCTGTACAGCTGGAGTAGCGGTTGATTCTTCAGGAAGTTCTTGCACAGTTGGAGTTGCACTTGGCTCCTCAGGAGTTTCCTGCACAGCTGGCGTTGCACTTGGTTCTTCGGGAATTTCCTGCACACCTGGAGTTGCACTTGGTTTTATGGGAACTTCTTGCACACCTGGAGTTGCACTTGGTTCCTCGGGACTTTCTTGCACACTTGGGGTTGCGCTTGGTTGTTCAGGAGTTTCCTGAGAAGCTGGAGTTTCACTTGGTTCCTCAGGAGATTCTTGCACACTTGGAGTTGCGCTTGGTTCTTCAGGAATTTCCTGCACAGTTGGTGTTGCACTTGGTTCCTCAGGAATTTCATGCACAGCTGGAGTTGCACTTGGTTCCTCGGGTGTTTCTTGTACACTTGGAGTTGCACTTGGTTGTTCAGGAGTTTCCTGAGCAGCTGGAGTTCCACTTGGTTCCTCAGGAGATTCTTGAACACTTGGAGTTGCACTTGGTTCTTCAGGAGTTTCCTGGACAGCTGGAGTTCCACTTGGTTCCTGAGGAGTTTCTTGCACACTTGGAGTTGCACTAGGTTCCTCAGGAGTTTCCGATTTCTCGGGCTTCTCTTCTGCAGGAGCTTTCTCTGGTTTCACTTCGGAAATTGATGCCTCAGTGGATTCTGTAGCAGGCGAAGATGGCGTTTCTGATTCAGTAGCAACTTTAGTAGGTTCTTGCTCTTGAATGGGACCTTCGGAAATTCCTTCTTGAACTGCAGGAACTTCTGTTGACTTCTCTCCCTCTTCCGTAGATTCAGTTGGTTTTTCTTCAGTTACAATTTCAGGTTTCTGAACCTCATCGTCAACACCAGTAGCAGACTTCGTAGGTTTGATTTCTTCCTTAACTGGTTTTTGCTCTGCATCAACTTCTTCCGGTTTCTCGTCAGTCGAAACCGAAGGTGCAGTAGGAATGTGTTCCTCCGCGATGGATCCCTCGGTCAAATGTTCTTCTACTGATTCTTCGACAGGTTCTACACTTGATTGTTCCTCTATGAGAGGCCGTTGAGTTTGTTGCCCCTCCTCTGTCTGAGCAACAGAGTCTTCGGTAGGCTTCTGCTCCTCTTCATCAGCAGTCTCAATTGGTTTTTCTTCCACAACTGGCGCTTCTGTGTGTTCTGATTCAATAGCTGATTTAGTCGGTTCGATTTCTCCAGTAGGTTGCTTTTCTTCCTGGATAGAAGGTTCTTCCGCAACCTTGGTAGGTTCAACTTCTACGGCCAAGGTACCTGCAGTAGATCCCTCAACAGATTCAGTTGGTTTTTCCTCTTCAAGTGGATTTTCCGTTTCGTGCAATTGAGGAGATCCTACATCTGGCTGCTCCTGAGAGACAGCCGCCTCCGTCACAAGTGCTCCATGTCCTTCAGTAGATTCTTGTTCTGCTGTAGGTTCTGTGGTTGCCTTTTCTTCACTCTCAGCAGGTCCTTTAGTTACTTGCTCTTCACCGGAAGTTGGAATTTCAACGGGTTTTTCCTCGGCAACTGCCTTAGTTGGTACTTCAGTAGCAACTTGTTCTTCGGAGGGTTCTTTGGTTTGTTGTTCCTCATCTGGTCGTGTGGGATGTTCTTCACTTGATGGTTTTACCTCTTCACTTGGTTCTGCTGGTTTCTCTTCAGTAATCGAAGACTCAGTTGGAATCTCTTCAGCGGAAGTAGCCTCTGCTCCTGTCTTAATTACCGAATCTCTTTCTGGTACTTTAGTTTCAGTAGGTTTCTCTTCTACAACAGATGCTTCAGTGGATATTTCAGCAGGAACTGATTCTGTAACAGCCTCCTCAACTCTGTCCTCGGTAACTGGTTTCTGTTCCTCGGAAGGTTCTTGAGCAGTAGTTTCGGTAGATGGGCCAGCTTCACTTTCCTGGTCAATTGGTCCCTTGGTAGGTACATTTTCACCAGCTAGTTTCTCGTCAATTGGCTTCTCTTCAGGAACTTCACCGTGTTCAGGAATTCTTTCAGTGCTGTGAGAAATGTGTTGGATATGAGAGTCTGTAGTTGCAGGTGTCTCTACATCAATTTCTGTAACAGATAGTTCAGGCTTAACTTCAGGAACAACACCGTGACTCTCGGGTTCGACTTGCTCTTGTTGATCTGGTGCTCCAGCTTCAACTGGTGAGATGGGTTTCTCTGTTACTTCAGTATCAGCTCCGTCAGAAGTTGACTCTTCCGATGGAAGATACGTGGAGGGTTGTTCACCAGCTATCTGGCTATGAGGAACATGTAATTCCGGATGCTCAGTGTCACTATATCCTTCGGTAACCTGAACTTCATTGATTGCATCCTTATCCTCAGCCTTATGAACTGGTACACGTTCCGGAACCGAAATACCAGTTGATCCTTCTAATGGTGATTCTGTCTGTTCCTGACTGATTCCAGATTTTGTCGGAAGTTCAATTCCAGCGGGTCCTTCAGTTGGAAGTTCTTCAGAAACTGCAGGACTTTCTTCTGGCTTCTCTACAATAACGACAGGTCCTGCTGTTGCAAGTTCGTCATCAATTGGTGCCTCGGTTGGTTTCTCTTCGACGACTTCTGTCTGTTGCTCAGGAACTTCTTTAGGTGTTTCTCCGGAACCCTCAGCATGTTCTTCACTGCTGACAGTCTTGGTCGGTATCTTCTCTTCCTCAGCAGCAGATTCCGTAACGCCCTCCGTCACAGCTTCTGGCGATTTCTCAGTGACTTCTTGTTCAAGCGTGGGTTCAACAGGTTTCTGTCCTTCTGATGTAGATTCAGTAGGCAATATATCAGTCTTCTGAACAGGTTCTTCAGTAGGCTGTTCCTCCACAGATGCTTCAGTCAAATTCTCTTCGACAGCTGGAATTTCAACTGGTTTCTGTTCTTCTTGAGAAATTCCTGCCTCGGTAGAAATCTCTTCCTCCGCTGGCTTCTCTTCGACAACCCCGGCTTCAGTAGCTCCCGGTCCCTCAGCAATCTTTGGTACTTGAGTCTGTTCTTCTTCAGCAACAACAGGTGCTTCAGTGCCTTGTTCAAGTTCACTAGCTTCAGTCTGCGATTCTGTAGTAGGGGGTGTTCCAGTAAAATGATCCTCCGGTTTCTCTCCGTCTCCAACTGGCTTCTTCTCAACAGTAGACTCCTCCGTAGAGCCTTCTTTCTCGGGAACCTCTGGAGTGTGCTCCTCTACTTCAACTGGTTTCTCAACCCTTTCAACTTCCTCCTCAGGTTTCCTCTCAACGCTAGTTTCAGTTTGTCCTTCAGGAACTTGAACCTCTAGTTCATCTATTGTGGCACGAGTAGGCTGTTGTTCAGGAACTGCATTCTCATCCAATGGCGCAGAAGTTTCAGAAGCAGGAACTTCATGACCTTCAGTAACAGGAACATGTTCGATACTACCCTCGGTAATGTGTTCAATATCCTGATGCTCTTCAGGTATGATGTTATCGGCACCAGGGAAGGATTCATTGACCTGACTGATCTGCTGAGTATCATCCTGGTCAGGTAAAGTAGCCTGAGTGGGCAAAATAGCATTCTCATCCTGTTCAGGAAGAGGAACCTTGTCCTGATGATCCTCTATCTGTTGATCGTCTCCTTCCCACAACTTAGTAGGCACATTCTCGTCATCCTCTGCAACAAAACGACACAAGAATAACAATCTGAAGAGTCAGGGAGCGGGAACCTGCTGATGTAACATAAAACTTCCAATGTGGAATAAATTGAATCCTTACCGCACTGGTACGTGGTCGGGCAGCACTCTCCCTCCGGCGGTGGTACAGCAGTACAGTTTTTGCCTTGAGTCTTCATAGGCGTTCCGCAGTCCTGAACTGCACATGCAATGTCTCCGCGGAAGCAATAACAGTGCTGGCAAGGTTGGGTCGAGTAGATCAGTTCACCATCCTCATACAATTTCCCTTCGTGGCTGCACTGCGGTGCTGCGATTCCTGGTGCTATGGTCGTGGTCATCAACAGACCTGGAGTTGGTCCAACCGTGGTTTGGTCTTCTTCGTCATATTCTTGAGAATAAAAAAGTACAAAGTTTATTTTACAGAAAAAAAGCCTCCTGATCAATAAATCCAATCCAACCGATACTCACCACAATTGTACTTGACTGGGCAACATACTCCAGGTTGATAAACTGGTCTGCATCCTGCAACACGTAGTGTGCACTCTTGCATGACACACGTGGTCCTGTTCCTGATGCAGTAGCACAATTCACAAGGATTATTAGGATCGGTCGGAAGCTGAGCGCCATCAGCGTAGAATCTTTCATTGATGCTGCATCCATAGTTATCATGGAAACCGAGTTCGGTGGATCCTGACGTGGACGGTGTATTGGTAGTAGATGTCAAAAGTTGAACGGGTACCTCGGGACACGTGATAACTGGACAGCATTGATCAGGTCGTTTCTCAACCGTGCAATCCTGACCAATAGCCTTCGTGAAGGGACACACCCTGAGGTAACACATGAGCATCCGATTGTGGCACGTGCAATTGAGACATGGTTCGTTCGTTATAATTCTGTCGCCTTCTTGATAGCGTTGAAAATTGTAATAGCAACCGCTGGCACCTATAACCGATACAAGATAACATCAATGAATCCCCATTAAAATATTAATAATTAAAAGTCATTCAGTGAACACGGCCTCTACATACCTGCATCGTACTCTGCGACTTCTGTGGTATCCTGATCGTATACTGGCGCTGCAACACAGTGAATAGTACAATTGATATCGATCGATCCATAAATTATTACATAGCCCATAGTCTATTCTGATCCACAATATAATCACAAAGAACCATCTCATTTTCCAGAGCCACAGCGGGCAGCAGCCCAGCAGCAGGAGCAGCCAGATGTGGCTACATTATCGCCGAGGGGACGTCGTCCTTAGCCAAGGGAATATTCTCCACCTTGGATAAGGGTAGATTTATCATAGTAATTACTGCTGGATATATTGTCCTCGGTGGGTGGGTGAGAAATCCAGCAGAACAAGAGTGAGACTCGGTAAAAGCGTCATATGGCGCGAATCTTTTTTCTTCTATACACCGAGTACAGTGTGTACACACTGTGTACATGGATGAATTCTCGTGAAACACCCTACTCGCGAATTCTATGCTATTCTATAGGATTCTATGGACATCTAGGGTCGTTCCTATGGTGCATTCATCGCCCCAGTGTCATTCTAAAATTCTGTGTTCTATCCTGATGTCAGTCTCTATTTGTCAGGCTCTCCGAGGGATTGGAAAGCGCGTCTGGTCCAGGACATTGGGGCCCAGATTCTTTCAGGACAATAAATAAATAAAAGTCCCTAGGGCATTTACCCTCTACTCTCGATTCTAAGGTATGGTCCGATGACGTGATGCTGACACGTAGCTAACGGTCTGGAGGAACTGGTCTGAAGGGCGGATGGTTTCCGGGAAGCAAGAGAACGGAAGCCGACACCCCGAAGAAGAACTGCCGGTGTATTTGGATGCAACGCGTGTACGACAGCGCCCTTAGCAACGTGAGACAGGTGGGAGAGAGAGATAGGTATATAGATAGAAGAAAAAGAGATGAAGAGGAGAAGAAAAGGAAAAGAAATCAGCATTCCACGATGGGACATGCAGACAGTTTCCAGCGAAGCGAATTGTACTGGGAATGGCGAGCTCCATGAATGGGCCTTACCAGGCCCCGTCACTTCTCGCACTGTCCCACGAGCCGTTCAGCCGCGTGCCTCCACGTTGCGTGCTTTAGCGCGACACGTCACATATGAAGTAGCCTTTAGCGGTGTCGCTACTGTTCTCCATGGTATTAATATACGTCTGGTGCACTGGACCTAAGAGTAGCGATACGAGATTCACATAGATATCGTCTTAGTAGACCCTCCAGTGTAATACGTATTGTATTACAAAAGTGACAGCAACGAAAATACCTCGGAATAAAAAGGACATCGAACCTGTCACATAAAAATTTCTCAGAATTCGATAAGATTATCGATACCGTTTTCTGAATCTATAGAAAAAATAAATAAATAAACCAGATCAGATCCCGTTCACCAATCAACAATTTTCTACAGGCCAAATAAAAGGTAACAATGCACGAAAATATCTAACGGACCCCAGCATTCATTGCGTAGATTGGTCCCAGCAAAAAAAGGCCCAATAGCACGACGTGGTAACTGATCGCGAACCTGCGAAGACCCAGTGCCGCGCGTCACGGTCTTCTTGTGTAGGGCCCAATTAAGCAATTTCGCCGTTCTACGTGGGTAACAATGGGGGCCTGAACGACCGTTTAGCGTCCTACCCTGACAAATTGTTCAGATATTTCTTGGGGTCCCCCAGAAAGGAAATTAAAGGGAAAAAAACGGCTAATGAGACGCACTAACCTCGAAATCTCCCACAGGAACGAGACGATCCTCCTTGAAATATATTCCCCGCACAAAAACGTATGTAGAAAGGGTCAAACACGTTACGACCGTAGCGTCTTTTATTGAGAGTCAAAGAATGATCAGCGTATACCGATAAACAGCCCACGCACTGGCTATAGAGCGAATGCAGTAAAGTTACTAGAATCCGTGTGGGAAGCGCGATAGGCTACTTGACTGCGTTCGTCATTCCGGCAACAGTCGATTCGTTCGGCTCGATAAACCTGAAAAGTTTCCCCACGAATCTTCAAAATACGAAACGTTGTCTCACCCAGTTGTTTATATCCTGCCGAATGTGGCCATCTTCCTCGAGTAACGCGAACGTCCTGCACAGCTGTCAACAAGAGGTTGGCAAACATCCCAGGCTAGCGACGTATATCGACGCGACGAACAATCGATTCGCTAGACTCGTTTCGATAATCGTTTCACTCGACTTCCTACGAGCATTGCTCGAACTATCACTTTGAATTTGAGTACTCAATATTTTTCTCTCTGCCGATGGAAAGAATGTTCGATGGGCTTCCGTGTATTTTGTTTACAGACAACGGCCACCGCCTACGGGTGGCAGCACCGGCGCTAAAAATCGTGAAAACTGACGGATAGTCGAGGAAAAAAGTTTAGCATGACAATAATGACGTTGGCGAAACAAGATCGACGGACATCTCGAGTAAGAAGCATTAGGCGTACCTTACGTAAGATAATACCGAATTCCATCGAGTGCGTACGATCGTTCGTTCTTTTTCTTTTCCTTCTCTTGTGAATGTCTTTTCAGTTTCCTATTACCGTTCCTAGTGATCTTGATCCTGGTCCAGTCTTACGGATACATATATACATATATGTCTGTCTACCTTGAATCGCCTTTATATGTAAACATATACAAGATTGCAGGCACGCATGTGAGCTCATATGTGGATGCTATTATATTACGCGAGTCTCGAGACTCGCAGTCATTGCGCGTTATGAAATCATCGCTCGCGGCCTTGGCGTGAAAGTTCATTACCATTAACCGCACATGCTCCGGCGAGCATCTGCCTCTCGTTATAGAAAGGCGAATCCTTGGCTCGAGGTCATCATTGGCGAGAATGATGATGATGATGATGGTAATGATGATGATGATGAGCACGAGGACGATCATCAGGTGATGGTATGTGAAGTCAAAACTAAGAAATTTCGTATGTCTCTTCTTGATTCTCAATTCCGTTGGAGTCCGTCGCAGGTATCCATAAATGGAGGAAGACAAAGAGACCAGGGTCAATAGCACTTGACCTATCGGTTTTCATGAGGAGGTTAGCGGGTATTTGGATTCGTTCTTACGATGATCCTCGCCACGATGCGTATACTGCCTTGTCCACGTGTTTTACTCAGATGAATTAATGGGATTACTTAATCCGTGTCACGCTGACGTTGCACCCACACGTTCCGTTATACTCCTCGTTGCGATGACCGCGACTGACCTCTCCACCTAGGCAAGTAGTCGAGAGGAGAGTAGGGCTACCTGGTACCCATGAACTGCAATGGAAGAGGGTGAGAGATGCTGAGATGGCGAGTTGCCGAGAGGAAGGAGAGAAGAGCAAATTCTATTTGGACGCGAGAGCACGTTTCTGCAATTGGTAACAATGCTGCCATTTTATTTATGACAAAAAAAAAATTTGTTAACGTTCTTTCGGTTTTGCATTGTTTACTTGTCGTTCACTGCTTTTCTCTCGCTCCTTTCAGGTTGACGGTACCGGTTCTAATGGTCCGTTCTAATGGTCCGTTCTAATGGTCCGTTTGAATTTCCCGCGCCAGTCGATGCTGGTGCTATTACCTGAACTAGGGTTGATCCAGGAGTTTTGTGATGAACGGTATAATGACACTTTACTATGATCGTATGGATAAATATGTAAGGTGCCCTCGGGGTCAGGTGTGACAAGGGACCGTAAGTGAAGTGGCCCCGAGGTCCAGGTCACTGACATCCCGTTCGCAGCTACGATGTCCAAGGCGTCTCAGGAAGAGGGGCCTTGCTACAGGTTTGACCAGAATTCGCAGCATCACAGATGCAGAGAATGCGAACCGCTATACGCAGCTGCGTAGCTATTACTTCTTTTGACGTTTTTACACCGTCAGGTCGCACTTGTTTGCTCAGTGGAGCACGTCGCGAATTCCGAAATCAGAATGACACGGACCATCTTCGAGGAAGTATTTTTCATCGTCGTATGGTTCATCTTCTTGTACATACTTTCTGCAGGTTCAGATAGCTTCCTGGTCCATCATCCTCATAGGCAAAACCCTACCCCGCTAAGAAGTTACCCTAGTCCGGAAGTCGATCTGAACGCATCTCTGGTTGCTGCTGCAGCTGCACTGTCATCCACCGTAAGAAATTGTACCGCATCCTCAATGAGGAATCATCGGTGATTCAAGCTTCTTGTCAAGTTGGGTCAAGTACTTCTTCCAGTGCCCTTTTACGAAGATGCTCCAAGATGACGTGGACTTGTGGAAAGTGGGTATTAATTTCATTAATAATTTTTTATCGATTAGAACGAATCGGTCCAGCGTTGAATAACGTTTGCAGCATGCGTATCGTAGTAGGATCTTCAAGTTAGGAATAAGACTTCATCAAGCTAGAGAGGAAGGTTCCTTAACCCGCAGTGGAAAACCGGCTCGACGTAAACGGAAGAGGATCCAGAAGGAACGCAGTGGGCATAATACCGCGAAGCCAGTGGACCAAGATAGAGAAGAGCGTCCCGACGCAATGCGAATATGGCGAACAGCTTCATGGGAAAAGTTCGCGCGGGTCTTGCAGTCTGGCCTGAGCAGACGGGAGAGAATAAGAATGAGGGATGGAACTGAAGGAGAGACGTCGCAAAGGTCCGACGCTCGCGTTCATCGACCCATCCAGCATCCGCGGAACCAGGAGCCAATAGAATCATCCCAGAAGACGATTAGGTCCCGTCTGAGTGTTTCAATGATTTTTCTTAGGTTAGGATTCACATCACGGAGTAGCCTCTTGCGCAACCGACCCAATTGAACTTCACCGAATAACTTCAGCCATTGGTTTGGCTTTGTTCGACTATTCGAGCGTGTCTAAAGCGCCGGACCATGACGAGGCTTTCAGGCCCTTCGCCCTTGAGGCCCCCGGACCAAATGGGACCCTCTATTCCTGCTCAGTAATTACCCAGACGACATCCCCGTCAGCAGACAGTGCAAACCACCACTGCTCTGCTGCTGGCCAAAGAATCTTAGAAAAACATGATGTCAAAACCACTTTACCTAAAATACCAAAAAAATAATTTTACTCACCGGAGTGCGCGAGGTGGATCACAAGCACAATCAGCAGCGACAGGATAATCCCGGGTCGATGGATCCCGGCACTTAGCGCCGACATCTCGGCACTCGTCGCTCTTCTGAAAGAGAAAAAAAAAGTCATTAGTCAAACTTCCATATCACTTTATTGCGTAACAAGTCCCAGAAACTAGTACACGTTATTATTTTACGAAACCAAGACGTCGCGCAAAAACAAGTGTACATAAAAAAAATTTAGAGTCGACCCACGAGGGTCGAATGTCTCAGTCCTAATTGTCCATAGATGTTTCTCCGGTATCTATGCACAGAGAAATGCCGCAGGTATGAAAGCCACCGGGCACGTGGCACGAGACTACAAGGATTCTCGTTAACGAGAGACGAAGAACTCGTATCGTCGTGCGTTACCAGCAACTTAAAAAAAAAAAAGAGGTCACAGAAGTACCGCACTCCGTTATTGTACGCGTGCGGCTCGTACATGCTAATCATGAATTTCGCGAGTAGGATACCGTAAGTGTCCTGTTCTTTGGATAGCGAAGGAAAAAAAAGAGAAAAAAAAGTGAAAAAAAAAACCTCGAAGAGAAAGAAGAAGAACCACTAGACAGTAAATTGCGCAATGCAAAGCTATAAACACATAACTTCATCCACGTTCCAGTACGTAACGTGACTTCGCCGAGGCGTGGGTGCGTGGGAATGCGTTCCCATTCGCACGATTCCGCTTAAATTTAAGCACCGTTCACACCGCCGCGAACACTCGCTATCTTGTCATAAGATCCACACTGAAAGTCATCGGGTGACTTTATTGCATTGAAATATCCCAAAGAGAGTCACTATCGACAATCTCGACGCGTGTCTTCCTGGGACTCAAAGCAAGGTTGATACTCGTTAACGTCTGAGGCCCAAAGTAGTAAATAACCAGCTGATAATCAGGAGAAATTTATCATCTATCTAAAATAATAACTTAACCAAGAGATTGTCCGTAACCTTATGGGACTATGGAGCGTCGGGATGAACTGAACTATAGAGTGCATGTATACGTATATAGCAACGGTGCAAAGTGAGATAACCTCAAAGCGTCAAAGTACTCCGGGTGGTTTTAGCGCGGGGCCTTACGTCATTTTGTATTCACGGTACGGCCCCATTGAACAGGGAATTCGGTGAATGGGTACGGACATGGGTTAGTATGGGTAAGCATTTACTCAGCAGTATGGGACTGTGTAAGCCGACAGAGACGACACACCCACGATGCCGGGTGAATGGCAATGTCAATGGCAGTGACAACGTAGACGTCCCAACCGCCGGACTCTCTTTGGGACTTATTTGATAATTATCTTTAAAAATTTCTGGATAACGGTACCGAGTCGACTGTTTCGGACTAATGATTAATTTTACTTGCACTCTCGTTATATAATATATTTCTATGGGTGAGTTTTATGGTCGTTATGGATCTCCGAGGTCAAAGGTAATGGGACTTAATCGATTGTAAAGGATTCTTGGGGCCCATGGATGGTACTTCAGAGTATTACCGTTATTGCCTGTAGGCTGTGAGGTTCGGCATTATCGTGGAACGCGGAATATGATTACCTTTCGCTGGGAACCTTCTCCTACCCTCCCAAGAGTGAAAGATAAAGAGAAAAATTATTTGCTTGGATCTCAACAGCTGAAGTCTGGTAACACTCTTGAATTAGTTAAAAGCGTTCAATATTTTTGGAACGAAATTAAGGATTAAGAGGGGCTATTAGAAAAAAAATTAACAATAAAAGAAACGAGTTCGTCCAAAGGATGTTCTGCACGATCAACGATGTTATGGCGGACAACAGGTCGTCTGTACAGTGCGTTAGCGGTACGTGCCATTGTGCCATTATTAACGGGGAAATTGACCGATGTTCTTATGTAGTTTTAATACGGAATCGTGAATTACTGTAATCGCGATTACACAGCGCACTTGTCAGTCAGTATCTTTGTCAATCGGTTAATAAAAAAAAGGGGGGTAGAATCGACATTCAAAATCTTCCGTGATTCTCCGCAGCTGCGAAATTTATCCTGTTATTCCTATACAGTGGCGCGGACAACGAAGAGGACTACGATGGGACCTGAGAGAACGAAGAAGCATGAGGGGACCTGAGAGATGATAAAGTAGCTCAGACTAGGTATCACCAGATATAGTAGTGCTCGGTCGGTAAGTATGGTAGTGACCTTATGCAAATTGTAAGAGCAAACGATAAGTTCCGTGACCCCGCTACCACTACTACGCAGACTGCTATCTAATGTTCCTAACCTAACCTGACCCTGGGAACTCTTCCACGGTTAATTATGACAATTAGCAGGATCATCTTCTATACCGCTTCATGGTCGCACGCGGAGTTTGGCCCGAAGGGGAAGCCTTCCTCTCCTCGGTCCGAAGTTGACTTCCGCGTGCCAGTGTACGAACGGTCCCATAGCCCGTGTTGTAAAAGGGACTTAAGGCCCCTCGGGACAGGTTGACGGCGATGGGCTCGTTACGCGATCATCAGCCAGTAATCTTTGGGTACGTAGAGGGACGTCAACCGGGTAACCGGTCTGGCTATAACTATACGTATAAATATATTACGCGCGGCTCCTTGAATTTACAGAATGAATCACTCGTGCCAAGATGGCGGAACCTCTAATAATCACCGTGTACCTGTGTACACATGGGAGCAATTTGTGGTAATATCTTATTTTGAGTTACTAATGGCAGTCTAGTAAATGTGACGATGACGGTGTTCACCAGGAGCATCTTACGAGCGTGGGTTAACCTGACCAGGTGGGTCCGGGTTAAAGAAACGGAGTGACATTAAAAGTTACCAAAAGCAAGGTGGGTTTGGTTTTAACGATCTGGACCATAAACGCAAGAAGCGTCTGTCCTTATGAATTGGACTCGAGAAAAATAAAAGTTATGATTTGTAAAAAAAAAAAATTGAACTATCGCGTGGGTGGTCAAGCTTTTTAGGTTGTAATCATCAGGAAGCTAGTTCTTGTTAACATGGTCCATAGCACCAAACGATTAATTTCGATTTTGCGGATGAAGATACACGCGTGCTGACAATGAGGCCTCAACCAGTTCAGCTTGCCTTCGATTCTTCTGCGTGAATTCCGGATGTCTCGAAGGCCGAGGTCAGCGTGAATTCGTCGAGGTCGTACCAGTGTCTAAGCAATAGCGTCACGCTAGGAAGAGAAGAGAACTTAGTCCATCATTTACACCACAGCATCCTTGCACAGTGCCAATATACAACCTGGTAAATACATATGTATACACCCAAGTGCAAAAATTCAATGACAATTTTGATCGGTACCAAAAAAAATTCCCCAGATCCCATAAGATCCTCCGGGACTATCAGGATGATCCCAGTCCGCAATATTACCCTCTGGGAACGCATTACCCTGCACCAGGTAAGTACCGCACGCAAAGGTAGTTGGAACAGCAAGGTCCGATTACTTCAGGCCTCAGCGTTCACACGAGGGTGCTCGAGCAACAGGTCGACCAACACACATAGTTGTTCTTGGCTACACCCGCTTCTATTTATATCCTACCTGAGCTAGAGTTACGCAGCTTGATAGAATTCCCTAGTCCCTTACCAAGAGCCAGCAGGCCTACAGGGGTATATAACCCTACAAGGGTATAACCCTTGGGGCACTGATAATCATTTAGTTACCTCGTACCAAGAATCACACATAAAGCTAGGTATACGTAGTACCAACCGAATTATCCCTATATATGCCCACTGCCAACTTAATATTTTTATTCAAAATAAAAAACCCTATGGATACAATGAAAATCACTAGAGAAAGGCTTGGGTAAAGAATTCCAGTGCGGTATCGATATTTCGCGATTGAAACGTCCCTCTGATCGATCGGCAGCATATAATAACGCGTATTACCGCTGACGTGGGTCTCTCCTATATCATATCTCCAGAAGAGATCAGATCTGCACCCTCGGGGCCGGGATGAGAGATACGGATCGTGCCGTTCACCACCGAGTACCATGTGATACCCTCTACCGTATGGATGATACAGGTACAGAGGAGGACGGTACCCTGAGCTATACGTATACCCTGTACGTACTATCCGGTATGGTTATGGATGGCTGTAGATACTAGTACGTATGAGATAGTACGTAATAGTGCGACGGTGAAAGGTAAGGAAGAGTTAGGAGACCCATGGCGTCGGATCGCGGTTTATACTTAGCCGTACGTGGAGCCCGTTGCCACCATACAATTAAGTCGATATTATTACCACGCACATAACTCCGCCATAACTTGCTTGTAACTCTTTGGGTTTTCTATCTGATGCTTTTATCTCGACGAAAAAAATGTATATGATCAAAGGCTGAGCCACATCCTTCCTTCATATTGCCGCGTTTTTCCTTCACTCTCTTCGTTTTTCGCGTTGGTATTGCTGTACTTCATTATTTTTCTCTTTGAAATATTTTTTTTTATTACGATGCTTTTATCTGCCCCTGTAAAGTCGTTGCTCTCGTTCTGACTGCCACACTGTTTCCCTGAGACGTCCGGCGGACTCGAATGGTGCGGAAGTCGAAGATTGCTTCCGGTTTCGTTATCGCTTCTATCGTTGTGCAAAGTTTCTTGATGCCTGACAGTCTCTGACTGTGTTCATTTTCTAGATTTTTTTTTGTGGTTAACAAGTCGATGATAGTCTGTATAGAAGAACGCGTCTCTGGCTGTTGGGTGTGATTTAGGTTTTTTTTTTTGAGTTTAAGTATGTCGAAGTTTTGTTTTGTAATAAAGTCTCAAGCACCGTCAGGTTGTGGTGTTTAAATTGCCACCCTTAATAATAATAATGATCGTATCATATCTGTCATTAAAACTCAGTGCACTGTTATCATGGACAATTAAACGTCATTAATTATCAAATGAGCGCCATCCAGAAGCCCAGAGGGTAATCGCCTCGACAGGATTAATAACTCAGATTATAAATTCTAGAAATATGTAAGAGCAACAAGGCCCCCATTTTAAGTCCCAATTTCTTATGAAAAAGAAGACAAGGAATCACTGTGTACGATTCCCGAGGCACTGATAGCGGGGATGATCGCGATAGTTACTATGGGCCTTATGGGACTTAAACACTGCTCAAGACTGGATGTGCCGGTCATGCTGAAATTACTTAGCGCGTGGAACAATGCGACGTAAATCCGACACCGACGGGGAGGCGTGGCGCCACGATGTACGGCACTGACATAGCAATGTCAAGTTCCGGACCTAGGACACGGTTCTTTTTTTCTTCTTTTAAAAGGATCTCAAAAGCTTTTCTACCAAGAGTCCATCCTAGGGCCTAGACACTTTTTTGTAATTCCCTTCTGCCCCCACCCTCCACGTCTAGAAGAAAAAAAGGAACTCATCGACAGGAACGGGACCGCCAATATTTGCGTAGCCGGAAAAGAATTTCCAAGAGAATCGTATAGGAATAGAAATAGTGACGGCCCTGATGGTCCTGCCGACGGCGAATACGTCCTGGGTAGGTTTCAAATGCGTGGGAGCAGGCGAAGCTTCTCTTGGGACTTCTCGGCTATTATTTACACGCAGGCAACAGCCGTCTAGCGCGTTTTATTTACACTGCGTTTACACGGAATCCTGAAAAATATCGAGTTTACCCGAGTGCGAAGGCACTTAGTCAGGACTCGCGGGTAAACATGGCACAGGATGATGTTTTAAGGAAACTTCGTCGTCTCCTGGGAAAAGAAGAGAAAGAAAAGAAAATGAAGATATGTACATACGAGGTGTATACGCGATGTGTGTATCAGGAGGAGACAGGACGAGCATCGAGAGAAGGTGAATCTTCTTTATTTGACGTTCCACGAGATTCCTGGTAAAGCAGGATATCCAGCAAGGTCAGAAGAAGCTCCTTAATGACCTGGGGATGGCTGACGATGGTCAACCCGGTAGGATATTCTCCTAGTCGCCCCAGAAGAGGACGAACACCTGTCCAGAATCCCCTTTAGTCAGACAGGAATCAAGGCTGGCTATCTTCTTGTCAAGCTTTTCTCGATCGGTCACGGTACCTCACTAGGAAACTGGTCCTATTGGTATTATCATCAGGAGGTTGGTACTACCACTTGCTACCGTTTGGTCAGACTAACCTCTAGCTGGAGATGTTGGTCTGGTGTAGGAATGCCGGCGCCAGTAAGGCTACAAGAACGTGCGTGACACGCGCCGTCTCGGAGCTATTAACCTTCCATGCGCTAAACATGGCAGCGCGTTCGTGACTCCCGAAACGCATTAGCGTCATCGGGGAAAACCCTATTCGAATCATCCAGCATTAATAATCAACACCTTCGGCAAGTAAATCTGGAATGATCGGGAGATTCGGAACGATTGAAAATTTGAGTAAGCTAATTTGACAATTTAAATATACATTGTTATCGTATACAGAGTGTCCTATTGGTATATACTGTTAGATTCGTAAAATGAGTATAGAGTAGAGGGAGAAAAAGGTACCGTAGTCGTGCACGAGCCACACAGCGGGGCACTATGTCTCCATGGTCCAGGTGGGCCCCCCATGTCCCCCTATAAATAGCACGAGCCTGCCGAGTATGTACCAGTAAAGATCAGCTCCTTGGCCGAGGACAAGGCACGGGGGAAATAATGTGGATGGCGAACCGGATGCAGGGGCCACGAAGCCACCCAGAGAAGCTGTCCTACCCCGGACAACGCGATACGATCTTCGTCGACTTCTGTCCCCGGAGTAGCTTAACTTAAGGCACGTCCACACGAGAGAGAATTCACACCATACAGCGGACCCTCTAGATACCCTGTACTAAATGCCGACCAATGATATCGAAAACTTCTTGCCAGATCCCAGTGCCCTCTGTGAGAATATTTGCGTAACTCAACCTAAATATTCTTTTGGACAAGCAGCCGACGTGCTCCCGCAATCCAGCAGGCATAAGCTACGCAAGAACTGTCTGTTAAACAGGAAATGGCTACGTTGTTGAAGCTTCCTCTGGATACACGTATGTACCTATACTCCTTGGTTTATGCTATCTTATTACGAAGCTCCGCAAATGGTCTTCATCAAGGGTACACAAGAGCGTAGCCACTGTGTAGCCGGCCGTGGGCTTCCTTTTTCCACGCGAACAAGAGACCACGGGGCTCTTACGTTGGCAGTACTGGCTAAGACTGGGACTATGCGAGGAAGAGGTAGGACGTTATTAATCTCAGAATGGCCGTCACGCGCGACGACGGTCGTGCGCGCTCGCTACGGCGTAAAGATAGATACTGCGAGCTTCGACTTCATTCTTCACGGTCGAGCGACTTTTGTGTACAAACATTATCCCAGCAACGAACGGTTAATGATCTCGGGTGCAACCCCGCGCAACCCCAGTGCTCAGGGGGACCCTCGTTAAATGACAATTTTTCACGCAAGCCATTTCCAACCGGCGAATAATTGCGAATCTTCATCCTGGGAGGTTCATCTGCTTGATCTCGCGTATCAAAGAGAGCAATCTCTCTCTCTCTTTTTTATTCCCGTTGCTCACTACCCCTTGTTACGTTAATTTATCCCCTTTATCATTTATTTTCTTCCTATTTTATCTTGCCTCATTTCTATTCCAGTGTCTCTCATAACGATCCAGTCCATTCAAACCTTAATGCAAAGGGGGCAGAAGGAGAATGCAGAAGCCACTCACCGACAATGAAAGGAGGAATAAGAGAGAAAAAAAATGTCGAATGGGAAAGGAGCGAGAGAAGTTCACGTGAGAGCTAATTACCTGGCGTGTAACATAATTAACAGCGCGGGAGCCGCGAGCAGCCCGGCATCCCGGCGCGATCGAAAATGTACCGTTAAACCAGTCGGTAATGGAGATTAATCCGCGGATAAAGCGATGTTTACATTTTTTTCGCGACGCGACGACACGAAAGTTAATTTAGTTACCCCCGATATGGAAGTCGATAATCAATAATATGTTATACGCCTAGTAGAACCGAGCAGTCGTGCATCTCAAGATGAGAACACCCCATCAATATACCATGCGTGACAAATGCCAATGTACAATTAAAAGCATGGCTACCGCAACATCCTCTGGGAGCCAAAGAAAGAAGAGCAAACAGAGGAGAGAATAAATAAGGGAAAAAAAGTGTAACCGGCTCTGGATGACAAAAGAGAAAGGTACAATAAATTATTAATAGATGCGTTAGCAATAAGTCGATGGTACCTGCGATGACGCATTAGAAAATGGTACATCGATATATATATATATATATATATCGGTATACAAGGGTATACCCTCCGGGATATTAGTCACTTAATATGGACTAGTATAGTAGAACCTGTTACCCGTTACCAATGATTTGGTTAGGCATCCCGGGTAAGCCCGGTATAATAATATCTACCTAACCTATAAGACCGAGTTATGACTTATAGGTTACCCCGTTCCCTGAAGAGAGGCCGGTTGTGTGAGGTTGAAGTCACTGGCACACGGACTGGAATGGACATTATTACCGACACGCGGAGACTGGATCTAGGCCAAGTGTGCAGGTTCACTAAACGCAGGTCCTCCTACCTGATATACAGTCACCAGGTACTACGTACATGGGTATATACATATATATAATTGTGCTTATGCTCATTCCATTATATTTTTTTGTAGAACAATATAAACTGCGTGTATGCATACCTAACGTGATTGTGGACAAACGAAAGTAGCAAAAGGGACAAGAAAATGGCGATTTGTGCCACGACCACACCTGTGGTTTTTGACCCTGTTCCTGGTGAGCGGTAACGTCGTACAGAATTACGTGCTACGTATCTTAACTGATTCTGTGGAATCCATTGACAATTCCCTGGATCCAATGAGAATTGATTTTTATCGTGGCGAGTGTGACTAGATTGATGGTATACACGTAGAATACTAAAGCCTCGATAACGATTTTATGGCGTCTATTGATTTTTAATAAGTACTTAATCCTGTCCAGTATTTCTATGAGATCTGTAGCAAACCCTCAAGGAAACGTATGAGCTAGTAATTGGACGTTTCTATAAATCCTATGTAAAACTGGTTCCTGCTAACTTGTGTATTCACGAAGACGACCTTTCGTTAATCACTCCTATAAATATTTGCACGTCCAGCGAACCCGTCTTAACGTCAAGTTCATTAACGCATCTTGTCCGTATAATACCTTATTAGGTGTAATCTGTAATGGCTGGTCCATAATAATCAAGGAGTCGAGATCGGAATCGTCTTGAATTTTTTTGATCCCACTACCGGTTTTTGCACTTGGCAATAATTTTTTTTCATAATTGAATACCTCATATACATACGCATAAGAAGTCATTAATATACGTATGTTTCAGAAGCAACGAATCCTCAAAGTATTTCCGTTCAGATCTGGACCCAAGAGCGTTCTGGTTCAGATGAACGTATCTCTCGATCAAGGGATGAAGTGGGAGGATAGACGAGGGATTATGGGGAGAGCGAGGGGGCTCTTTACCGTTTCGAATCTACGTGATTCGAAGACTCGTTCAAGCGAGACCCCCAGGAAATCGTGGACCCGGCAGCTACCTCCGGGGATCCTGGCACTCGTGTATTACGGTAACACGTCGAAATTATGTCTAATGAGCGAGGCGATCTGAATTTATTTTTTATTTTTTTTTTATCTAACGAAGACGCTGATACATCTAGTCAGCTATCCACTATACAGATATTCGTTCTGAGCTTGTAATAGAAGATACCAAGTATTGGTATTTGTATCTTTTCTATTGCGATTGGTCCGTTGCTTCGACACGCGGTAGTTGCTCCCGATTAGTTTTATCGCAGATTGTAATAGATCCCAAGCCGAGACGGACTGGAGTTCTTAGGAAAAAATTTTATAAAAACTTTCAGAATTGTACGGATCATCTTTTACTAAGTGGACTATACCTATCCAAGGAACGATCAATTATCGCGTATCATTCTACCGAAGTGGACGTACGAAAATTTTTCAAAGTGGATACCCACCGCAAAACGGTCAACCCGAAGAGGATGGAGTGAATAAAAGAAAATTCAAGCTGTACGATAACCTCACGTATTCAACTGTGAAGCTAGTTGTGCGTATATATATATATATATCCAGCACCAGCTGCCATAGACTACACGGACCACTATGTTAAAGAAATTAATTGCGTTACTCTCCTAGACTTTTCTTAGGTCGCAAGTTAATGGAGCAAGAAATACCGTGGACGGTAGTGGACGCTGTGGATGACGAAGCGGTGGTGTAAGGAAGGAAAGGACGTTCGTAAAAAAAAATTCTTAAAGAGCGAGACAAAAGTTTACGAAGGAGGGAGAAGATCGATTACCGTTCGAAACGATCGAGTTTGCCAATGAAAAATTGCAACGGTTCAACTTCGGAATGATCCTTTCTCTACGCACCAGTGACATGAATTGCCGAATCACCGTCTGAATTACAAGGAACTTTTCGTACGTGTTACATATGTATATATACTGTTACTGAGCACGTATGTTCACGCGTGGTCTGGATACGCGTGTTCTTAGATATATCTATACTGACTTGGAGTTTATATCTGCGTAGGCAAACCAAGTGTTGGGCGTCGTACGTATGTGGAATACGAATTAGACGCGTCTTCGGGTTCAGGATCGCATTAAAGAGTCTGATCTCGCCGAATTTCTCACATACCGATATATAACGATATATCAAGACCCATGTGTCACATATGTATATACCAAGAGGTGCTTAAGAGAAGAGACTGTGTCGAGGCTCTTAGAGACGCGAGACCTCTTATGTAGAAAGGGTTCATTCGTTTTGAGACTTCTGAGAAAATTTACATATCGATTCTTTTTTTTGTATATGGGTAGATGACTGGCTGGGTGGAGGGGGGGGGGCAGAAGAAGCTCTATATACTATTATTATAATTTCTATTCAGAATAGCTAGGAATTCCAAAGACGTATGCACAATGGAGGGCTTGGGAGGATTCGAGTATGGTTTTTTTTAAAATGTGATTTTTATCAAGAACTTTTGAATTTTTTAATTTTCGTCAGTGTCATTTGGTTTCGGCGTACTTTAGAGCTTTTGCGACTATGGGAATTCAAAAAAAACTTGGCCGTTTCGTTTTGAGCGAAGTTTTTGGACTTTTTGGATTCTGGCGAAATCCTTTATGTATACTCGCGTTATCCTTCTTTTTTTTTGGTATTCACGCTCTGCCGAAGTTCCTCTTCGCTTCGGTATTCAGTCACTGCTTAATTGTACGAGGTGTTCGTGCACGTCCGACCATCGCTCTTTGGGACCCGTAAGGCCCCACGAGAGACACGCATACCTATCGCACGCCGCGTTGAATTATTTAGACGCTAAGGCAGAGAAGTCTGTCTTTGAGGGACTCGTTAAGTACTTCTTTTTTTATCTCTTGCTTCCTCTCTTTATTCTGTATTCTTGTTTCTTTGAGACAAGTCGCGAGTAGTTTCTACTTGGTGGTTAAAACGGCCGTTTCGTGAACCAGCCTTTATGAGGGCCCGATATCTGTTACGTCTTGAGTCAAGATAATTTTTATAATCATACAATGGCCCAAAGTCCCTGTGTATCGTTATCTGCTACCACCCTTGATATAAATCAAATGAATTTTTGGACTGCTATATAAAACTTTTTTGTTATATTTTCAAAATAGTGATTTTTTTTTTATTTCCTACTTACAATTTACCCAATAAATTGCGTCAAGGGGCACTTCTGTCTCTGTCTGTCTTTTTCTTTCTACAAGATTCGATTTGAATTTTTACACTGGGTCGTTGGGGGGGGTGGGAGGGTGCTTGATTATTACGTCCATTCGAGCAGCATCACTGCACAAAATTCCAAGCGCGCGTAATTCGCAGTAAAGGAAAAGAACCGCAGTAAAATTTAATGATCGATCAACACAATATATATTTTATAACCGAAATTCGAAAAACGTCGCACTGATTTCATTAAAACTCACTTTTTCGACTCACACAATGGTACGTATCAGTTGTCCTTCCCCGTTAACACTTTTGTATACAGTGTGCAATATCATTGCACGCATTAAACTCTCACGTATCATCATATGATCAGCTCATGGGATCATCATCAGCACATACGTCACTTACCTATTGGGTCTCTTTCTATTCTGCGTGGGTCGTTAAGTGCTGTCCTGGTGGTCGTGTCGCCAATCTGATCCGCTCCTTCTTTTTTTGTTACCCTCACGAGTAATTGCCAAATTCAGATATTCAAAAATGATTTTATAATTCCTCGTACACTTGGACCGATTCAAAAAAAAAAAGGGAATCTATTCAATTATCTGGTATCTTTCTTTTAATTTTAATATCGCTCTTTCTCTCTTTCTGCCAATGTCCAGGATCCCGAGGATGCTCGATTGTCACTCGCACCCTCTTCGTGGCGCGGTCTTCTCGCACCACCGCACCAAACAGAAGTGAACTCGTGCGCCGCTGCTTCACGGTACCTTAAATACCTTGCCGTGCCACGGCCCCTACCTTCATGCGCTGCGCTGATTGGCGGGGGAGCCTGCGATGCCCGCGGCTACAGAAGAGTCTCTGGTTCTCCCTGGTCCTCCGGATCCTAGGATGGACGGACGGACCCAACTAGAAGACGGACGTATGGACAACGTCGTCGTCGGGAAGAAGAAGAATCTCCTCCACCTCGTGAACACATCCTCGTAGTTGCGCGCCGCGCAATATTCAAGTGCTCTCTCTCTCGCTCAGTCCCCATGCGCATGCGCACATCTACCGGACTTCGCACTTTCGGTACGGACGCATTCACGCGACGGATCTTGAGCCGAACGCATCTCCTGTCATTTTGTGCCAAGGGATGATAACCTGGTGGGATGAATATTTTTTTTGAGCTTAATTAAATTTTTTCTTACTTTTCTTTTTTCACGTACTAATAATTTTGGGTACCCCAGATTTAACGGGGGTCGATGAGCATTTTTTTTTTGGCAGTTCCGAATTTTCGAGTGCTACGTTCAAGGGTCCCTTTTTTTCGGGCTGACCAGATTTTTTTGACCTCGCGTGTAATTACCCGAGGGTTAAGTCTATGGGGATGCTTTGAAGGGTGTGCTTCTTCTTTCTTATTGAGGACTTTGGATTTCATGGCTGACCTGATTCATGCATCTCAACTGGAAATTTTAACGCTTGAGCAGGAAAGTTTCTTCTACTTCGTGACACGTAGATCAGGATACACTGTATTCAACGCGGTATCTTAGCTGGTAATCGATGTTGCGTAAAATTACGTGAATCGAAGATACACGTTTCATAAAATTGATTATTTCAAAATAGCCGTATCGGGGTGTGGCAAATTCGAGGAAAATTTTCACTACCGTACATCTTCCACGAAATTGACGTGTAGAATGATTTCTAATGATTCTTCATTCAAGCTCTTCGTTCACGTATTATCTCATCATCCTCAAATAATATACCAATTCATCCCCAACTATCATTACTTATTGATACCCCGCTATAATCAATTTGAAAAAAAGTCTCATTACCAAAATCATCATCTCCCATTAATAACAGGTGGTCCAACGATTACCCGATCTCATTCGATCGTATTGATCTCCATTTTTACAGGATACAAAATCTACAAAGATCATCCTAATTACATAAATCTGCAAAATCATTCATCAGTCTCCCAAGAAAAAGTAAGAAAAGTCAAAATCCTCGTAGTGGGCGAGATCAGTGAGCTGCCAGCTAGACCACGACTGTCATTGACACTGACATAATCAACAGCCAAGAATAGCAATTGCTCGGTAACGTCAGAGTAATATGGGTACAGGTAATGGATCTTGCATAAGTAAAGAGTGAGTAGAGGGTAGATGGAGGGGATAAGGAGAGAAAGAGAAAGAGAGAGAGTTAGCAAAGCTGTACCTGGAACGAAGAAGACAGAAGAAGATGACGCGCGCTGAACAGAACAGACACTGAACTTGACCTGAATCCGGAGAAAGAATCGTGGACTGGAGAAAGGTGAAAGGAGAGAGAAATGACTCTTACTTTCGATACGCTTTGGAAGTTCACCCAGTAATATTTGAACACGCTCTTTATGCATATACGTGTTTCTCTTATCGCTTGGAGAATGTATGAAAAAAAAAAAATGTAAGAAAAAAATTGAATATTCGAATTACGTTAATTGCTCAAGGCCAGTAAAGGTCGTTTACGGTTGATCGATCAACGCTATGCCAAGTACCAATTGAAATATCCTCGTTTTCACTTGAATCTACGATTATGTATTGTTGTTATTATTATTCTTTAATTTTGTTCTTAGTCAAGGATCTTGAATATTTTTTTTTTTTTTTTCATTATTATTCTTAATCATCGTATTACGTTTATACCGATCATGACATATATTTTTCCTTTATTACCGGAAACACGTGGTTTCGATGAAGCGCGATCAGCCGAGGAAACGACCTTGCGACTTTCTCGAGCGTTGACTCGAGCGACGACGGAGGTTGAGGTCGACGCGATGCTCTATTTGCCGGCGCCGGCTAGTTTCCAAGTTACGGATGAGAATCGGACTCTCTGGATGTCTAGACGTTAAGACGAAGAGTCCTTTTGTACGGTACAGTACCATTTCGGATGACTCCGGACTTGTTCGGCCGAGCGCGGGTATATTTGTCTAACGTGGTAACATAATGTAGTACAGCGATACCTTGTTTAACGAGGTAGATGCGTTCTGTGAAATTACGTCTTAGATGAAATTTGTTTATCTGAGGTAAAAAGTAATAGGAGGATTATGAATTTTTTTTGTGGACGTAAAATTAGGAGTTGTTCAATTTTTTTTTATAAAGGACTATTCGAACTTATAGGATTCATTAAATGAGGTATTACCGTGCTGTTACTGGTAGCGACAGTACTATTATTTATTGTCATTTTATTTATGTGATATTTTATGCTACCTTTTTTTTTACAAGGAGTAAAGGGTGTTTTGAACCTATTTTATATTAGGGTACTCCTGTTTTAAGATAGCGTTACCCCAGGTATTTGGGTGTCGTTGCTTTTCTGGATATTTATTCTGAATTTGTTTTTGCCAGGAAGAGGGTAAATTCCGTGAGATAGTTCTCGCAAAGGGGACCAAGGAAATCAATAGCGTTGCTAGGCTAGCGTGAGAGAATGGGATGCCGTTAACCGAGCCAGAGAGAAGCCATTAGATATATTGTATAGATATACGTGTGTACCAATTTTATTTGTAAATTATCCAGATATAATTTTATCGTAGAATATTGGAAAAAGGGATGAAAAAATATTGTAGAAATTTTTATTCTAATTCTTGTATGCCAGAACGATCATCCTCAGGAAGGATCACGTAGTGGGGCTGTTGATGGAATCACCCTCCCCCCCCCCCCCAAAAACCCC